ACTGTATTCTTTCCCCATACTTATTCAATCTGAATGCTGAGCAAATAATCCAAGAAGCTGGATGAAGAAAAGTGTGGCATCAGGATTGGAGGAAGACTCATTAACAACCTGTGATATGCAGATGATACAACCTTGCTTCTGAAAGTGAAGAGGACTTAAAATACCTAATGATGAAGATCACAGAGCACAGCCTTCAGTATGGATTGCACCTTAATGTGAAGAAAACAAAAATCCTCACCACTGGAGAAATGATTGAATCGGTCAAAGATTTCATTTTGCTTATCAACAGTTAAGAAATCAAAGAATGTATTGCATTAGGAAAAATCTGCTGCACAAGACCTCTTTAATGTGTTAAAGAGCAAAGATGTCAGTTTGAGAACTGGGGTACACCTGACCCAAATCATGGTATTTGCAATAATGTCATATACATGTGAAAGTTGGAGAGTGAATAAGGAAGACCGTAGAAGAATTGATTCATTTGAAATATGGTGTTGGAGGAGAATATTGAAAGTATCATGGACTGCCAAAAGAACAAACAAATCTGTGTTGGAAGAAGTATAGTCAGAATGCTCCCTGGAAGCCAGAATGACCAGACTTTGTCTTTCATACTTTGGACATATTGTCAGGAGGGACCAGTCACTGGAGAATGATATTATGGTTGGTAAAGTGGAGAGTCGGATTAAAAGAGGAAGACCCCAGTGAGATGGATTGGCACAGTGGCAGCAGCAATGAGCTCAATTGTAGCAACGATTGTGAGGTTGGCACAGGACCAGGCAGTGTTTCATTCTATTGTGTATAGAGTCACTATGAGCTAGTACCAACTCAGAGTCACCTAACAACACAACAAGCATTTTCCTTAAGTTCCTGTTCGGAAAAAAATGGTTTGTGCTTGGCAGTTGTATGCTGTCTTGTTGTTATTGTTGTTGTTAGGTGCCATCGAGTCAGTACCAACCCATAGCGACCTTATGCACAGCAGAATGAAACACTGCCTGATCCTGGGCCAACCTCACTACTGTTGCCATGCTTGAGTCCATC